TTCTGTTTCATGTTTTTGCTTTCTTTTAATCAAATATTCACTGGACGATTATGGTACACCCATAATACACCCTTTACTTCGGGTTTAGTGTTTTTATTGTCAGGTTTAGTGTTTTTCGACAGGTTTAGTGTTTTTCGACAGGTTTAGTGTTTTCCGGGGTTTCCACTCAACGCACATATACCAAGGTTAGGGTAGGGTGGTCAGGGTTTACATTGACTGGTGCATTATTGACAAGTGCCAGTGACCTGTACTATTTTTTTAGTAACTGAGATCTGGGCAATCTCGATTAAACTCTTCAAAACTAGCTGCTTTTCTGATAATATTGAAGGTAGAATTTTAGAAAGACTGACAAACCTTTGTGTTTAGTTTACATCCATTTTATATAAGTTTGAGTTGGCCAACATGTGTTTTTTCTGTCCAAAATTTTGATACATACATATGGTTTCGGCAAATTGAAACAATATTTTGATCTTTGTAACCTGTCTTTTACCCAAACGCTTTTGACGTTGTGGTCTATATAAATGGTGTTACGAGGTCTGTACCACAAAGCTCCCGGTAAAATGGCTTGCATTCAAGTATAGCAGATATGGAAAATGTCCGACAGAAACCCAATAGACTGATTTATTTAAAATACATTGAATACTATGTGAATACAGTGAACAAGAAGTGTATATACGCACGAAAATTTGACAGATTAGATTTTCGTAAACGCGAGAGTCGTTTTACTCAATCTTTCTCGTCATATAATTCTTTAAAAACAACACATATTATACAATTTTAACTTAACTACTACGTAGAGTAAGAAATTAAAGTAACTTACTTGTGTCTTTCGAATACTTCCTCCATAATTGTGGAGTTTCGCTCCAAAATGCGAACCACGGTCGCCATTTTGGATATTTACTTTTGTGTTGCTAAGGAATGAACGGAACAGTCACGTGACCCCAATAATGGAACATTGTATTGTTTTGTGTATTCGGCACCTAGGGACTTGAATGCCCGGGCTGGACCCAGGCTGTATACTTCAAATAAATACACTGTCATTCGTTACAAAATGTGTTTTTTTCTTCTGCAGATATTAATCTATATAATAAGCCAAAACAAAAATTACGTTCTCGGTTGTATTTTGTCCCGAACTGCATATGTCGTACATAACTGTACAGGCAAGATAGGAATCTACAATTTTACCCACAGCCGGCTCGTTGTAAGATCACTGGCATTCGGCCGAAATTCTGGCCAGATACCGTATACAAATAAGAATTTTATTAACACTTACTTCTTTTCTATGAATGGTAAAGGTTACAGAGAGAAAAATGCAAATGTGTGAGAAGACACTTCAGTTTACGAATGTGATATAGGTACAAGAGTTCAGACAGTTGCAAGAGTTTGAAACATAAAAAAACAAGCGTAATCCAATATAATGGATGGGATGGGCAAGAAAAGTTATGGTAGTATAGATAATATTTGCCTACATGCTTATTTCTTGTTGAGAGTGATATTAAATCTTGATTGAAAAAATGATGGTGATGTTATTCCATTGAATATCACTAGGAATGACCCTGAATGATCATTGGCTGTCAAGACTAACAAAAATTAAAAAGGAATACAGTATTAATCAAGATGTCACGAAGCTAAACTTTCAAAAAATCTCAGCAAGTCACTGTCTTGATATCTGGAAGAAGGACATGCAAAGGGCTGATTCAAAACTCAGAACATATCAGCTTTTCAAAAATGATATAAAACAAAAAGTCTACATAGATCAGCTTAATGATACTTAGACAGGCAATCAGAATTTTAAGCAAATTCAGACTGAACAGCCACAAATTACATATAGAAACAGGTAGACATACACGACCAAAAACAAATATTGAGGACAGAAAATGCATCAAGTGCCAAGTCATAGAGGATGAAGTGCACTTTATCACAGAATGTGTACTTTATGAATCTGAAAAACAGGAATTATATTCCTTGTTTGATAACATCAATGGTATCAAAAACAAGGACAAATTTATATGTATTATGAATGCCCATACTAGACAACAATTACTGGGGTTAATTAAATATATCAAAACAGCGTATACAATAAGAGAGCAAATAATATTACCACAGTAGTTTACTTTTTCTTGTTTGTTTGTCCACAGTCCCTCTATAGAGGGACTGTGGTTTGTCTCACTTTTTGTTTTGTTTGTTTTTAACTTTATTACCTTCTACATGTGTAGAAACCAAAAAAGAATTGTCAAATTTTCTTTAACGTTGTAATAAAGCAATATTCTATTCTATTCTATTCTATTCTATTCTATTCTATTCTATTCTATTCTATTCTATTCTATTCTATTCTATTCTATTCTATTCTATTCTATTCTATTCAAGGTAAAATGCTCCAGATATTCACAAATCTGTTGGTGAAGAAGTTTATCCTCCCATGTAAAATTAGAATATCGTGCTTGGCTTAATATTTGTGATTTACATATTTATAAGATTGAATCATCATGTCCCCGCGCAGTAACCTTCTGTATGCCAGTGTGAGTTACTGTAGTTTGAGTGACTGTCTGGCCCCACACGGCAGCCACTTCAGTGCAGAGATAAGTGTAATGGTTCAGCATTGAACAGCTCCTAAAGGATCAATGTGACAAAATTGATATGGTTATTAATTCAAAAAAGGCCTTATAAAGCAAAACAAGTGTCTCTGATCCAGGAAGGTTAAAGAACGACGTACAATACCCGGAATATGATATGGCTTTTAGCGCTATAGAGTTGATGTGGTGGTCAAAAATTATTGTCAACAAGTACACCCATGTTGATCAATACAGATGTCGCACATGTGCGGCGCGACGACCATCGCCCGTCATTTGTAATAGACTGATGGGTAACAGTGATATTTGATAACACTCTGATTGGTAGGATCAAATAGACCTAACATCCTCGTGTATGAAAACAATAGGGATTGTTGAGTACACTAAGCCTTTTCCGTATCTGTAATGACTATAGTTACATCATGGAGCTATACTTCATGGTTACATCCATGTTCATTAGTTCTGTTAATCCACGGTTACTTTTTTGGTTAATCTTAGGTCTAGTCTTACCGGTGCTAAGCGTTGGGTTCGGGAATAATGTATTTTTTTTGGGCTTCATTTGCAATTGGTTTTTCGTGGAATCTAACTGCCTTTCTGCATTTCCATCGTGCTTGGTTATTTAGTTGTGTATAATCCAGGTAACATTGGGGATTCCAATCCTATGCCTAAAATCCACTATTTCTTCTTTACTTTTGCCAGACTACGTATGGTTGGTTTCTTTTTGACTTGTCTTGTTATTGCTCGTCCTTCCATGTACATGTTCATCAAGTGACATCTTAATGTGGCAACCCAACAGCCATTTGTAGATTTGTTCCTGAATTCATTGTCATATACTGAATGTATAGCGATTTATGTGAAAGTAATTAAATGAAGAACATGTCTGCTATACATTGTATAGAGTTTCTAATGGTGACAAATGTAATTACATGTAAAAATGACGATCAGGAGATCATGCTTGAGAACAATATTTATTGCTACACTTGTTATTTCGTATATAAATTTTCACTAACACACTGTATTTACATTTGGAAACAGTTTATGTATGTTATTACATTATTTACATCTCTGAATAACATGTCTTATACCTTTTTACGCAATATCTATCGCCACGGTGTGAGCCATAGTAACGTGCACGTGATAGTAATGCGAACATTTTGTTTTATTGCCATTACCTAAGGGGTCGTGTCCTCATAGTCGTCTCTGATTGGCTGTTTCACACGAGAGGTCGCCGTCCCTGAGCATGCAATATGTACACAATCAAGGCTGGAACCCAAATCTCGTGCTTTGCATGATCGATCTATTAAAACGTCAACAGTTTGGCGATTTTCAACTCGTACGTAATGAACGAAAGTATCTGCCGAGAAAGGTTAAGTTGTCCGCACACGAACTGAACGGTAAGATGTCTAGATTATTTTTACGATGCCTGTTCTTCTACTCAATGATACAGAAACGAGATCACACAGCAAGTTGGTTTTGAAAACAACGCCATGATTTTCATTTGCACTCTGTCATGGCTGCCACGGGCATATTGTCTCGTTTATCAGTAGCGCCTCGGTCGTAGTTTAGTGTGACCCGCTGTATCACAAAGCTTTATATGTGTACAGTACCAACAAAAAGCTCACCAATAAAGCATGTTTTTTTAAAAAAAAAATATTGAATTCCTACACTAACGATTCATAATTTGTCGGTGTTTAACTATACACTGGTAAATTATGTAAATGTGAATAGACATAGTGATACGATGTTGACGAGGATTAACCCTACCACGATATCATACGAGACCTCAAATGGTTTGTCATAATGCAGTGAATATTTAATCTCTTAAATACATTCCAATGAAATATCTCTTACAATGTAATATAAAACTATATTTGCATGTACTACTCATTGAAGGAATGATTCATTGAAATTAAAATCCAGCAAATATAACTTTTTTTCTATATTTTACATTCAACTCGTCACAAATCAGTGAAAATAAATTCTATACAAAACACAAAATTCCAGCTAAAATAAAATATTTTACAGTGTTTCTAATGGGCCAATAATTACAGGATCCATGGATGTTTTAATATCTGCTGAATTTTACATTACTTCTCTACTGGTTTATAATTTTGTTATTGTATAATAAATACAGGTTTTTTAGTCTCTCATTATTCACATACTTCACACAGGACAACATGGAGGACTTGGCTCATGACTTGTCATATGCACTAGAAGAGTCATCCACGCAACAGGTGGACCTAGACGATCAAAATTCGGTTATTTTAACCCCAAAGCAATGTCGGCGACTTTCTCGGAAACAACGAGGAAAAAAGCGACGCTCTGATTCTAATTTGATATGGGATTATGGTAATATGAGTGAGGCTTCCGAATCTAGCTTAGACGAAGCTTTGAAAGATTACATGGAAAATGTGACAGCACAACAAAATAGCGATTCAGATGACACTGTTACCAGGCGACTATCAACAGTCAATCTGTCTATGACGAACACATTTTATGGTGAATCAGACTCAGTTACGGAAAATTACAACGTCCCGCCACGCAGACGGCGACGAAGAATGAAAAGAATGACAGTAGAAGCATCAGGGTCATGTACTACAACAGTTATTAGTAAAAGCGCTTCACTCCCTGATTTGTTAAGCCAGGAGATGAGAGCACGGAAAAGAGGTAGAAGAAATGGAGGAGTAGATGAACCTATGGTGGATATAGAAAATATTCAACATTTCAAACATGCATGTACCCTGAAACCTGAATCTAGAAGGAGGTGTAAAATGAAAAACAAAAAGAAATCCGGGAAAGCAGACGACATGGAAGTGTCAAAGGAAGATTTTGATGAAAAGGATTATGGGATTGTAGAAAGATTACACGAGAACAATATGGAATGTAGCGATGAGGACACTCCAATAGCACGAGATGATAGTGATTCGTAAGTCTGCATTATAAATATTCAAATATTATTACATTACTACTATAACGAGATATCAACATAATTATAATTTATTATTTATTTGGGCCAAATACCAAAAAGAAAATAATGTGATAAGGAAGGTGAATCAAGCAATTGCATGTCATTCAAATTCAGTACTTCATCTCTGTTAATCTTCTTTCCTCTTGTGTATCCACCTTTATATTAGTACTGATAATCTTCTCATGACTTTATTCATGTCAGTGATCATGTACAGTAGTACTCTATTCTAATCTAGTATGGAAATAGTATTGATTGTTATTACTAGATAAGAGAAAGTTATTACATTGTACATTAATAATATATCTTTCATAATGTTTTTTTCAGTGAAACAAGCAGTTTAAGTTCAAGTAGTGATGATTTTGGACTTTACACTAATGATGAAGGTCGAGAAGGTGAGTTTTTGGATTAAATAGTAGTCTTTCCATCATGCAATTTTTATGTAGCTTCTGTAAAGGTATTGGTTATTGACAGTGGGTTTTCAATTCACTGTTTTCACTGATGATAAGTAAAATCTGCTAAATTGAATCTGCCAGATGTACCGTAAAATTCCTTTTTGAGGCCGCAGCTTTAATAGAAGCCGCACCCCTAACTTGAGACATTGTTTCATGTTGAAATTGACAAGTTTTGATCCCAGGGAAAAGTCTGCAATATAAGCCGCACCCCAAACTTT